GAGATCAATACCATGCTTGTGTCATGAGGCATTACTCAAGTGTGAAAAAAATATGCATGGGCACCTTTCCCAAGATAAGAACCAGCTGTGCCTGGAAGATCTGAGAAAAGCCAACTGCAAAGGTACCTACAGCTGATGTTCCTGCTGTATGTGCACATGTTGTGCAATTTCTGTCATACTGCTGAGTCTGCCCAGTTCTGTCTTTTGCCTCTGGGAAAATTATTCTAGTTATGTGGAGGCAGTGCCTCCTTCATTTCTGGTGGAGATACAGTGCTTCCATCTCCTTCACCCCCTTTTCTTCCAAACCTAATCATTGTCATCTCTCAGTCTGTCCAGCCTCCATAAGGGATTGTGCTGTTGTTGAGACAAATCTGTTTTAAATTACTTCTGCAAATGTTGGCATTGCCAGAATGCTCCTGGTTCTCTCTTTGGGACATGAGAGAGAGAGAGAGGACATCTGGCCCCCTCCAACCTTGCAAAGAAAACCTGATTGGTGGTTCCTTTTGAGTTTGGAACTCTTTCAGCCCTGTCCTAAGCATGTAACTCAAAAAGAAGCCCCATTAATTTGGTGGGGCTCACTTCCTAGCAGATGCGATGAGGACTACTATCTGTAGCCCAAAAAGTACAGGTGGGAGCTACTTGAAGAAGAGGAAAAGTAGAGGGAGGGCTATTTGAGAATTAACTAATTGTTGGATTTAGGATTTGATAATAGGTTTGGCTGGCATGCATATTTATGGTATAACAAAACAAAAATGCATAAAGGATTTGGAAACCACATATTCCAAAGATCTCTATATGAAATATGGGATAGGTATAAAAACCTATTAGAACATAAAACACCATGGTGGTTGTCACCTTTGGTAAAAAAGATAAATGTAAGTAAAAATCGGGCCACATATGAAAAGTTAGTAAGCAAAGAAGGAAATAATTGGAAAATTAAACCTTATGAAGAGGTAAAAGAATATGTAAATGATTGGTTGCACTATCGCCAAATTAATGAAATGTTTAAAGAAGATTTAAAGAAAAATGGATTTGGTTATACTAAGTCGAAATTCAAAATGGAAATATTAAATAACAAATTTAAAACATTGTCAAAAATGTATGAATTGCTGTTGGAATTTCAGTTATCTGAAAGACAATTGTAACCAACTGACTACACTTGTAGGACTACAAGAAGTTTTATAAGGAGAGCTATATGAAATATTTCAGAAAAGATTTATGCGAATGGATTTTAAGATGGATTATTAAAAGTAACAGTTAGGATAACAAATGTAAGATTAAGAGATGAGGTTTGAAAATCATTAGACGTGGTTGATGGAAGTCTCAGGCTAAATAGCCAAAATGTTGTAGAAGATGAGAAGAGATGTTCTGTTTAGAAAATATATGCAAAAACCCATAAAAATGTATATTAAGAAAAGAGGATTAATGACTCTTTCTAAAATATTTCCATGAACTGGCCATAGATTCATCTTGACCATAGACACTGGCGAAGGAAGAGGATTGTGGGGGGAGCGCACCACCCACTGCAGCGTGATCCCGGTGGGGTGCCATCATTGGCTGCCCCCCCGCCCGAACTGGGCACCATGCCCCCAGGACACTTACCAGCCATGCCCCCACCTGCTCTCCGCCCCCCGGCGCTGGAGCCTGAAGCTCCGCCACTGACCATAGATTCAAAATATATTCTATTCCGGAGTGTGTGCCCCATCGCATTTACAATGTTGAATTTGATAAAGGCTCTAATTCAACATTAGACAGATTGGGCAAGTCAGAATGGCTTTTGATCCAGCAGAGGTGTCTACTGACATAAGATGAAGGAAAGCAGTTGTCTCATGCCTCCCTCCTTGGCTGTTCTGGGTGATCCTTCAGTCCTCTGTGACAGATTGCAGGGGGCGGCACACTGGAGGCTGTGTTAGGAATGGCAGAAAATCACCTGCGCTACACTTACATTACCAGGTGCTGCTGCTTGATCAAAAGTTATTCTGCAAATGTAATGGCAGCCTGGCATTTCACCATTCATATGCTTCCCTGAAACATATTTTAAATTATATCTATATATCAACTAGATTTATAGCTTGTTAAAGTATATTTCAATTAATTGTGCTAGGTTAATATGTAACTTGATCCCAGAAATAAGAACGATTTTAGCAATCTGTTCTGTTCATCATGACATTTGTTAGCATTTGTGTAGGAAATAAGTATTGTGCAGCTCTAATTGGTCTGATGATCACTCAGAAAAAAGTGAAGTAATTATCTTTTTTAAAAAGTATGGAACTGACAATTTTATATCCTCTGTATCTATCTTTGAGTAGGCATGTGAAGTGGCAATGGTTCAAAATTTAGCTCCCATTACCAAAAGGAATTACATGGAGGCAGAGCTGACAAAAATGCCTGCTTTATCTTATCTTCAGTGCCCTTATGTTGTTTTATGATGTTATCTTTGGCTACGTGTTTTATGGTAATATTTAAAATTTCAGGAAACCATTTCCTGGCATGCTGGAAAGAATGAATCATCTTGCCAAGTGAATTTACAATGAAGGCACAAGACTTGTTTACCCCTCAAGTGTTCAAGGTTACAAAACAGAACACTGACAAATAAATAAATAAAATCAAAAAAGTATTGCTACTCCAAGATAGGGCTACAGTCTAGAGAACCACACAAAAGAACTATATCATTCAAAATTTGCATTTGTTGGAGGTGGATCAAAAGTCAATATATTTGTTGCTGATTTCCTCCCACTTAGTAGTAAAGAACGCCAGATTTATTTTCTTATTTCTTTTGCTAGATTTCCCAACTGTTGGGCTAATTCTAACATTTCATGGTGCTTGCTGCTCCAAGTTTGATTTGCTTGGCTTTTGGTTTCTTGGATTTACATGAGAGTGTTATATTTTCTTCTTCTAGGGCTGCGTTAACATTTGATGTTACGATACTTGTCACTGAATGCAGGTTTTTGAAAGAGGGACATGCAGACATCTGCAAGAGCTGCCCCCCCCACTCCATGTAAGAGGGCCTTTTTTAAAAGCTGCGTTGCAGACATGCCTTTTCAGTATGTTTTATTGTTGATCACACAGTTCTCCAGAAGCATATGATTTGTTAGAGTGACTTTGATCTATACGGAGACACATGAATGGAAACGCACTGCTCTGGCAGGCAGATTTTCGAATCCTTCCTTTGAACCTCTCGGGCACATGGCCGCTGTAGGGCTTTTTGCTTAAAAGCACGCAGATGCCAACAGAATGCGTCTTCCGAAAGGTGAAAGGGGCTCTGATGGAAAGAGTCACTCCACTGAGGCTGCAAGTTCCTTCTTTCAGCCCAATCGTGTTTGTACTTGGAACCCATGCTGAGAAGTTACTGTACCGTACAATTCAGCATTGAAGGGCTCTTTCAGAAAATGTCACTGTTGCTTAGTGAAACGCCCTCTACACATGCACAAACACAGACTCACAAAAAGGCGTGTTAAAGGTCTCATCTAGTCAGGATTTCCCTATCATCCCCCTCCCAATGAAGAGCTCTTAATTTGGAAGCTACGGCTGTGAGTTTTAGATTGTGGGTTGTTTTTTTAACCGTCAACAGATTTCCATGAAAAATGTGCCGTTTTCTGAGTAGCAAATAACTGAAAGAGCTTCATCCGTTTAATTAAAACATCACACTTGATTCTGATAATTATGGCTAAAAGATTCCAAAGAAACCAAAGTGTGTACACACACCCACACCCCTGATGCTTTAGAGCAAGGCATCTTTACACAGAGTTATGTTCATTTTCTTCCTGTGCTAAATGCTTGGAAAATCCTTTCCCCTGTTACAGTTGGGGAAGAGCTGTAGCTCACTGGCAAGGAACATGCTTTGCCTGCAAAATATTCCAGGTCCAATCTGCAGCATCTCCAAATAGGGATGGAAATGACCGCCTGCCTGGAGAGCTGCTGGCTTGTTGGTGTAGACATTGGCCTGAAATAGATGGACCGATGCTCTGGCAGGGGATACATGGCAGCTTCCCATGTTCTTAGGAAAATGGGGTTTTCACACAGCAGTAGGGAAAAGCAAATATTCCCCCCCCAAAAAAATAATAATAATATGTATATAGCGAAGCATAACAATACGTTTTGAACAAGATGTGAAGAGACCCATAGAGTACCACAGGCATGCTTTGAATATTTTTCTCCCTATTCACAACTCTTCACAGTGCCCTAAGATTTAGTGGTGGCCAGTGAGGGGGTTTTGCTAGGTGAATTGTCTGCTGTGCAATGACAAAGTGGTGGGTGAGAAATCAGTACATGGTTTCGGAGTGGATAATCTCCCCTGCTGATGTCGGCAGCCTGTGTCCACTCCAGAGTAAATACCCACCCAGCAACATTGCATTGGCAAAGTGCTTGTGGCAACGTCTTCACTGACACCTCCTTGCATCTAAAAAGGCAACTGCAGGATCTCCCCTTTTCCACATACCACAGTTACCAGTGGTTCTGCCTGGCAAACTGCCTTACCAGTCACCACTGCTAACTCTACTCATTGAGTTTTCTCAAATTTAGATCCTTAAGATCCTCAGCAGAGCCTCTCCACTTTTACCCACCAATTAGATCAGTGAGGTTGGTAGGCTCCCATGCTTTAGTTATTCCAGAAAGCCTTGAGAACCTAGCCTGCCTCAAGTGGCCTATACAGTGGTACCTCAGGTTAAGTACTTAATTCGTTCAGGAGGTCTGTTCTTAACCTGAAACTGTTCTTAACCTGAAGCACCACTTTAGCTAATGGGGCCTCCCACTGCTGTCGCGCCGCCAGAGCATGATTTCTGTTCTCATCCTGAAGCAAAGTTCTTAATCCGAGGTACTAATTCTGGGTTAGCGGAATCTGTAACCTGAAGCATATGTAACCTGAAGCATATGTAACCCGAGGTACCACTGTACATGATTGGTGTTGCTTCTTTGTTTTGGCTGAGATGACATGTCTGCTTTTCTTTAATGGTTGGTACTGTGGTAGTTATGCTTTATAATATGACTGGAGTATGGGAAGGGGCATAGCTCAGTGGTAGAACATCTGCTTTGCATGCAGAAGGTCTCAGGTTCACTCTCTAGCATCTCCACATAGGTCTGAAATCCTGGAGAGCCACCACCAGTCAGCGTAGACCACTGTTTCCCATATTTTGTCTCCAGCTGTTGTTGGATTACAACTCCCACCTCCCCTAGCTAGCAGGACCAGTGGTCAGTGATGATGGGAGTTGTAGTCCAACAACATTTGGAGACCCAAGTCTGGTGTAGGCAACACTGAACTAGGTGGACCAATGGTCTATCTCAATATAAGGCAGCTTCCTGGGTTCCTATTATTGCTGGCTTATTAACGATGGTGGGATTGCAGTAGTCTTCTTTTCCAATTATGTCAAGTAGTGTTAGTATCCCAAATGTATTATGAAACCTGCACTCAGAAAAGTGCCCTATAAATGAATACAACTAATAGAGTTTTACCTCATAACAGAATGTACATACCTTCTTTTACACCATTGGATGGAACCTGCTGTGGTAGATGACAACTTCAGGGATTGAATGGGATGATTAAAAGAACTATTAATTTTTATTTTTTGCAACGCATGTCAGTAATCGAACGGGCATTTTATATCCTGATCTTGCGACCTTCTGCTAATGGATTGCTTTGAGTCTTGGCCCGGACATTTCTTTATGCTGACAGCGGAACACAGTTTGTGCCACTCCAGATTAGAACCACCGGTTTATATATAGTAGCAAAAGGCAATTGTAAGACACTGAGTCAATTGTGTAATCATGTACTTGGTGGGAAATAAAAATCTGTCATGACCCCCTCAGGCAATCAATTTATGCCCTGAAGCATGAGATTTGATTAACCATGTTATTATCTTGGCTTGCATAGCTACAAATGTTATATGCAGTCATAAAATTATCCAGGCCTTAAAATGTATATTTTAAAGGATCCCAGAGTACTTGACTCTGTGACCTCATGAGACTGAATTCCAAAAGCTGTAGCCGCCTCTAAAATGGCGCCTCCTTTTATTTGCTGCAGATTTTGCTATTTTATAGCACTGACTTCCCCCTCATTTTCTCTTATTCTCCAGAGGTATTAAAAAATATGTCCTGTTATTTCCCTTTTGAAATTTTCAATACTGCAATCAAGAGCCTTCTAAATAAGGCTCTGAGCTCCATCACTAAAGAGGAATAATATTCAGTGATCATTTCCAAAACATTGCCAAGCTTATGAATGCTGCTTTGCTCTCTCCCCCCGCCCTTCAGTTTGTTGTGCTATTTAAAGATCACATTTTTTTGGCCTCTTCCGCTTGTACTTGTTACGGACTTCTCCTTATACTAGATGAAAATCTGGTTACCCACTCCTCATGGAGAGGCTTTGAACAATCATCCTGAGCCACACAGAGAACCTCTTCACAAACAAATGGCTTTAACCACTTGAAGCTGTTTCCTTGCAGCTCCTACACTGACTGTAGAATTGGGCCAATCAATAAATAAATCGAGATACACAGTTAAATACCACTATTGTAGGTAGACACACCACTGACAGAGTAGATTGTCATGTCTGTATACTAGACCTAACTGATTTGAGAAGTACATGGCTGAAACCAGTAATGCTACATTGGTGAAGTGAAGGGATAGAGACATATTGTAAGCTTCCTTCATCACAGCCCTCATGACACCACAATCATCACAGCCAATAAAATAAAGTGAAAGCTATGAAACTTGCAGAACTATCACATCACACGACACACTTGATGTTTCTGCACATTACTAGGGGAGAAAGGATCAGAAGAGGTGCATAGTTGGCTGGTGCTGTTGATGGCAATATGATGCTCATATTGCTTAGTTCTACCCAACTGTGTGAGCATTGATGTTTTTGTGTATATTTTGAGGAATTATCTATTTTTTTCAAGAATTATTGAGATGGGCAGATTCAAAGGAGAGGAGGCAGTTCTTCAAGCAGTTTGGTTCCAAGTATTATTTCATTTTCATTTCACTTTTAAGTTATATACCGCCTTTCTATATTACTATACAACAAAATATGCAACAAAGGTCACGCGCCTTATAATAATCCAATCCAATACAAAAAGTCATAATAAAAACATAGCTTTAAAATAATCAGCTTATATCAAATAAAGAAATATCCAACAATCCAATAGAATATAATAGTATATGATAAAATTAACTATCAAAATATCAGCAAATAACAATTAAACAGAAATCCACACTTAACAATTACAATACATAAATACTAAATTATAATCAATAAAAATAACAGCAAGTCACAATGCATAATATACCACAATACATACAGAACCATGTAAAAGGGTGAAAATGAGAAACAAAGACACACCTTATAAAATTATTCTTTTTTAAAAAAGCATTATAGGCAATGACCAACGTCTTGAAGTGCACTAGGAAACAGGGACAGTGAAATATTAATAGGGGTCACATGATCCCAGCACCTTGCCCTAATCAAGATTTTAGCAGCAGCATTCTGCTATTGAAGATTCCAAGCTGTTTTCAAAGGCAGCCCAGCCCATACAGAGTGTGTTGCACTAATTCAGTTGAGGGAGGTGGACCTACCAAGATGGCCTCCTCTGCTGACCTCAACACCTGCGAGGGTCTGTAGGGAGCCTTTAGTGCACTCTATTCCAGACAGACATCACAAACTTTATTTCCAGAAGCTGTGGTGATGTTCCCTATTTTAGAAGGATGTTTAAAAGGAGTGTTCAAATTCACGGACTAAGGTTTACGAGCCATGTTCATCAAATGACATAGCCTTCATCTTCTGGGTGAGAGTACTTCCAATCATCCAATGCTAGACCATTTAAGATGAGCCTGTGAGTTCCCCAGGACATCTGGCTGCCTACTACCGTAGACAGGGTGCAAGACCAGGTGAACCAGCTGCATTTGCTGTGAATGGTTGGCTCTGTTTAAAATGCCAACTGTGAAGACAGAGGATTTTAATATATATTTTTATCTGAACAGAACTTGTTAAATTTGGGAGGGGGAGCAAGAATGTGTCTGTTAAAACAAATTTTTGTTTTGCAATTATAATGCAATGCAGAATTGCTTTCTTATTAAAATGGCAAGGGAATTGCTGGCAAGCTTTATAACGGGAAGCCACTGCTTCCTTCAGATGTTGTTGAAATAGATGCATTCCATCATTCTTCAGACTTCAATGGATAATGAAATTGAACAAATGTTGCACAGGCTGAAATCATTATTAATATGACAGACAAAGACAGTCGCAAGAAGAAAACATGGACAATTCAGCAGTGTCTAAACAAGTGGTTACTCCCTTCCTGGACAATCTCCCTGAAAATTTAAAGTGGTATTTAATAACCAATACTATCCACGTATGTTCAGACTGGCCCGTTATTAAATATACAGAAGCTTAATGAATCTTATTTCCATGGAAGACATCTTAACATGGTTTACTTCATCTTTGTTATAAGTGATACACTTTTATGGGAAACATTCAATAACCTAAGGGAATGTTGGACTGGACTCAGTGGAAAACATACCAGTAATGTTTACTTGTTTGTTTATTGCCTTTATATTCCGCCTTCTTTTCTAGGGAACTCGAGGTGCTTTGCATGGTTCTGTGCTTCCCCATTTAATCCCCAGAAAAAACCCTGTGAGGTAGGTTAGACAGAAAGGCAGTGACTGGCCCAAGGTCTCCCAGTGGGCTTCATGGCCAAGAGGGGGTGTGAACCCTGATCTCCTGGGTCCTAGACCAACACTCTAACCACTACACAACACTGGCTCAAAGCTGACTGTTGGCATCATAAAAAGAGGACCCTAATGACAAAACTTCTGAGCTGATCTTCAGTAGAGGTATACATTTGGATCTGGCCTAAAATTAGTCACAATTGGTTCTCGCTGAGTAAGTTACTCATAGCTACCTGATTTACAGCACAGTCTACTCTAACCCTGTCTACTCAAAAGGAAGTCCTGCTGAATTGATCAGGGCTTATTCTCAGGTAAGTGGGGTTAGGACTGCAGCCTTAAATAGTACCTAAACACAACTAATTTAGACTGGAGCCAAACTATATGCTGTATTAATGAATGGAGGTTCCTTAAATTCCACTGGTGTCATCTAGGAATCTGCAGCCCTGGTCAGATAATCAGCAATAGAGTTAATTCTGTGTACACGGCTAAGAACCCCATGTTTGCATTGTGATTAATGTATATAAGGCCTAATTGGATTAATGGCGCAATCCTTTATGTATAGACTCAAAAATAAGTCCCACTGAGTTTAATTGGGCTTGCTCCCAGGTAAGTGGTCACAGGTTTACAGGCTAATATCCCTGCAACAGAGTGAGCTCCCATTGCTCGGTCCCTGCTCCTGCCAACCTAGCAGTTCGAAAGCACGTCAAAGTGCAAGTAGATAAATAGATACCACTCCAGTGGGAAGGTAAATGGCATTTCTGTGTGCTGCTCTGGTTCACCAGAAGCGGCTTAGTCATGCTGGCCACATGACCCGGGAGCTGTACACCGGCTCCCTCAGCCAATAAAGCGAGATGAGTGCTGCAACCCCAGAGTCGGTCAAGACTGGACCTAATGGTCAGGGGTCCTTTTACCTTTACCTATGTTTAACGTCAGAATGGACGTGTTCTGCTCCAAGTTTCTCTAAGGCACTGTCAATTACAATGGCTTGCAGAGCTTGCAGGGCAGCAGTTGAGGAAGGAGCAAAAAGGGTTTTCTTGTGTGTGTGTGTGTGTGTGTGGTTCTTTGTGGCTGATTGGCTGCTCTCCCTGTGCAAAGGTCAGAGGGGGCAGGGTTTCTGTTGAGGCAGGTGATTAGCTGTGGGAGGAGCTTATCAGAGCTTGCAGGGCAGCGGTTTGATCCATCTTTTAGATTTAGGGGAGCTAGTCTCAAACGTTTGTTGGGGGAGACCTAGGTTTTTTTGTGGGGGGAGTTATTTTTCCTGTCTTCACGCTTTTTATGATGGAGGACCGCTGTAGCCACCCCCAACAACACGTTCTCAAGATGGAGGGGGGAGGGAACAGCTGCAGTCGCCTGCGGTTCCTGCGCAATGTTTGCCATCTTGCCAAAGGTTGCAGGCAGCTTTACCTGCAGCAATTGCATGTTGATTGCCCTCTTAAAAGACAAAGTCCAGCAACTGGAGGAACGTGTAGCTACGCTCCAAAGAATTAGAGAGCTGGAGCTCTTCTTGGAAGCAAAAGAGCACACCGTTTCCACCAAGGAGGAGACAGGGGACTCCCCTGAGAAGGAGGCTAGTTCA